GGCGCCCCGCCGGAGGCGCTTTTGTACGCGATTTGGCTTCACTAGAGCAAAAAAAATGAGTGATTTTGGCCCATCTGACAGAGGCACTATCGCGGGGAAAACGATAGAAAGTTCGAGTTCAACGACTGAATTTGTTGGTTTTGGACATGAGGAAATATTGAAACATTATAATATTACTCCCAAGCAACCAAGTGGCATCCATCAGTTGGGTTGATGAGCGACGCTATCGTATACTGGACTCTACGAAGGACACAACGACACGGCAGCCCTGAACGTATACCAAGAAACCAGCTAAGAGCTAAAAAGTAAAAAGCTAACCAGGAAACGGGAAACGACAGGAGGTGCGCAACAAAAGAAGCACCAGCTTGCTAGAATGCTAGGGCGCATCCGGCTGGTGCTGCTGCTGCTGTTGCTGCTGCTGCTGCACGGCTGACGCAGCTGCTGCTGCTGCTGACGCAGCAGCCCCTGCATCATCAGCACCACTGCCGGGGTCTGCAGCAGACGGCGAGCTGGCAGGGGAGACTACAAACCTGTCCATCGTTGTATGGTCTCCCGACCTCTGTGGCGTGTTTGGTAGCTAGTGTTTGACGTGTGGCGGTGTGTCTCTAAGAGGAGGTCTGAATATATGGGTTTCCGCTGGTTCTTGAGGCGTAATACAGAGGAAATCTGCGAATATAAGAATGTACTGGAGTACTAGCTGCTGACGCAGCCAGTGCATATGCACTGGCAGTACGTACTGGTTCAGTACCCAACCCTACAAACTAAGCCTGATATGATTTCCTTCCGCCTGTTGTGATGTGTTGTGCAGGTACAACTTCCGCACGGAGTCCGTCAAGGACCCCCCTCCGTTCTCTCCGGACTCTATTCACTCCTTCCAGCTGATGCTATCCAAGTTCGAGCTCGACGGGAAGCTGAACCCGAACTTCTCGGCGGGACCGTTCGAGTTGACCACCTCCTCGATTAAGGTACAGTACAGTACAGTACAGTACAGTACAGTACAGTACAGTACAGTCTTTCGGGCCGCCTTCGGGAGAGAATAATTTTATGCAAATGAGGAAATAGAACAAGAAGCCGGAACGACACCCTGCCCCTATTCCAATTTCCCCGCATGCATCGTTTGTCCAACATATTTCCTTTATGATCGAAAAAAACTTCGAATGTTGCTGGACTGTTAAAACAGGCCGTGTCGATCGAGACTGCTGAGGAGAGGCAGAACTCGCGATTGGTCCACCTTAGCTCTGCGGGAGTTACAAGGCCAGGGAGGCCGGATCTCGACATCGACACAGAACCACCGGCGGTAAGGACACGTGTTCACGTCTTATCGAAGGCCCAAAATCGGGAATCAAAATCGAGCTGTGATTCGTAAAAGGCCAAAATAACGGCGTCCGAGGTTTTCCTCGGAGGACGTTTCTGTAGAAAAGAATAGTGTCATTTTTACTTTTTTACCGGCCAACAGAGCCGATTTTGACTTTGTTTTCAGCACCCTCGTTAAAACGGATACCAAGGAAGAGGAGGAGTGGCAAATGTCCATCTTGACCGCACGTGGCATGTGGCCTGGATAGTGTTATCACCCGGCTGTGCGGTGGCTACCGAACAAGCGCTTTGTTTGTTAAGCATGTGCTTGTCTTGTCCAAGTCTCTGGCGTTGTTGGTGGGGCGACTGCCGAATACCACGTATGTTGTTTATAGCCTGGTCTTGAAGTTCTGTGTGCAGTGTTTATGTGTTTTTGCCGAGGCTGCTCTCACAGCCCAATGATGTTTAATGTACCCCCGGCGGTCACCGAGCAAGACAAACACACACACGCTTGTATGCATAGCCCATGCTGACGGTTGCGTACGAACAAGTCGTGTTGCCATATCCGCCGCGTTCACCCCAAATGAGACAAGTGCTCGTTCTAATATGCTTTTAGGCACGCCGTGTATCCCCTTGTGTACAAACATGTGTCTAGCTTGGTTGTCAAGACCATGCGTTTTTCATGGTGTTGCAGCAACATTCACACACATATATGCATACAAAACCACCTGTGTTTCCTGGTGCTGCGGGACCGAGCCAAACAACCATTTTTGAAGCCATGACCACCTCAATGCAACTACATGTTGTGCTTTCTCTAATAACCTAGGTGCGCATGAACGAGATGCTGTCATACTTGCTGACCTACAAGCTCAAGGGGGAGGATGTCATTCGCGACAGCGGGATACCGGCGACGATTATCAGACCCTGCGCTCTCACCGAAGAGCCTGCCGGGGCGCCGATGATCGTTGGCCAGGGCGACTACCTTAAGGGCAAGATTAGCAGGTGAGCGTCGCTAGCAAGGGTGACAATGCACCTCAACCGACAGATTAGCAGGTGAGCATCGTCAGGTGGCTACCTCAACGGTAAGCTTAGCAGCCGTTAGCCAGGATGACTTGTATTTACCTAAAGCGTTGGATTAGCAGGTTGGCGACGATAACGGGCTCTGCAGCCGAACCCGAGTCTGCGGAACAGCGTCGCGGGTTGTTCGTTGCGGAGAACGGATCACGTTGTGTCCATGCGTAAACTAAACTAAACCAGACGAATTCATTTATTCAGTCGTCCCCGCCTTACGGTCACTCACGTCGTTTCCTCAAACTACTGCTGTAGGTGCGCCCTTAGAACGGGAGGTGTCCTTGCACCTACCCCCCCGTGTTTGGTTTCTACGTGATGTTGTCCTTCAAGAGGGGAATTCCCCTCAGTTTATTTTCGGAGCGTTGGTTACACTTTTATAGTATCTCTTTAGGACTAACCGATGTTGCACTTCGCAAGACTAGGTTCCTCGCGCGAGCAAAGACTAGGTTGCTCACCCCACATCTACCCTAACCCTAACCCCAACCGTCACCACGGCCAACGCACGGCCTAGCGGCCGTGAACTGGGCAAGCACATGGCTGCGCCACGTGGTTGGAATGCAGGACAGGGAGAGGGTGCTGGAAATGAAGCAGCCGTTAGAACCAACGCCAAACCACGCCCGGCCAATCAGAAAGCGCTAGTCCTAAATATCTACTATGCATACCAATGTGTAAACACTACTGTGTTTTAGTGTGCTTAAACGTGGGGACGACTGCTGTGTTACCAACACCCTCTCGACACGCTTCTTCTTTGCTGATGCGCGTCGCGTCACAACAGGGACGACATAGCAGAGCTGGCGGTTTCATCGCTCTTGACCCCAGAGGCTAGTGGTCTAACCTTCGAGGTCAAGTCGGACCTGGCCTTCAGCACGCTGTGGGAGGGGGCCCCGCAGGGGACCCCGGCTCGATCATACGGGTGAGACCCCGAACACCCATGTGTAAATGCCTTTTACCTACAATATACCCTCGCCACTTGTATATACGTCATGGCTGCTGCGATGGCCATGTATGACGTTGTCATCACGAGAGGATAGTTCCTCAAGGTGGAGAAAACGAAGCAGATGGTGTTCATGAACAGCATACCTGGGTTAGGTTACAGGAGAGCTTGACGAGCTATGTAGAAAGGTGTTGACCTGCCGAGGATCCCGCCGCGTTTCTTGTGTGCAAGACGATCAAAAGAGATCACCTGCCGTACATGGTACGTGCGTATGTTCCTGTCCATTCCCGATATTCTGGCTCATGTGTATCATGCCATGGTACCAACGTCTGTGTCTGTTTGGATGTATCAGCAAGGCAGCAAGGGTGACGCAGGACAACAGGAAGATAGTTTCGTATCAGAGTGACAAACAACAAAAGCAATATGCAGTGCTGCTGCCAGTGCTGTCAAAACACACAAGCATCTCGCTAGACACAGCCTCCAAACATCCTTCATAGCACCGAACCCCCCTCGTCTCCGCCCGCGCCTTCCTCCTTCCCTTCCTTATCCGTCGCTACCGATGGTTGTCCCATCGCGAGCAGGGACATCCTAGGGCCTCTAGAGCAGGGGGTGACGGGCAAGGAGTGGATGGGCGACAGGACTCCGGAGGAGGCGCAAGGGGTCACCGCGGAAGCTACGCCGCAAGAAACGTAACCGTCGTCGTCTGCGCGAACCGTAACGGGCCGCTGGCGAAGGGGGTTGACGGGACAGAGAGTGGATGGGCGACAGGACTCCGGGGGGAGGCGCAAGAGGTCACCGCGGAGGTTGCGCCGCAAGAAACGTACCCGTCGCCGTCTGTGCGAATCGTAACCCCGCTTGGCGAGAGCAGACGGCGGGCAACCGTTTTTTGTCAAATCGGTTTTTGAAAATCCGAGAGAGCTGGGATCTGCTGCTGCTGTAAAACTGAGGTTGATGTTTTTGCCAAAAACGGCCTCGAGCAGTGTGGGTGGGTGTGTGCGTGGAATGCGATGTTGTACGCGCAGCCGCCGTGTTTGGAGCGTGGTAGGAGCCAGACTGGTGCGGCGACAATCGCAACTAGTCTGCACCCAGGCGAAATGTGTAAAATTGGCTGATCTATCCGCAGGCGCCGACATGCATATTTGTGTGGTGTGGTCGGTTGCCTCCTATGTAAGTGCGTGTGGGAAAATAGGTGGAGCGAAGCGGGTACAAACGCGGGATGTTTCCTGTCTTCAAGGTTTCCACCAAAAAGATCGTCCATTCTTTTGTGGGCCACCTAACATACACCCCCGGTCAACGGCTAGTTTTTGTGGCGAAGCAACGCGTGTTTCGAGGCATGAGCAATGCCGGCGGTATGTAGACTACATGTACAGAGGACGTGGACTCCTTTCGACGCGGGATACCGTGGGAGCGAATACGTCTCCCCCACCCGGTTGGTGCACAAGCTTACCTAAGGTTAATGCCTATTGGTACGGCCTTAAAATAAATACTGAAGTCCCCCCCATTCGGCGGTGGAGGACTCAAGAGCTATAAGACCCCAAAACTCTCCGGCGTGAGATCCAAAATGGATCGGACGG